AGCTTTACACTTGGGGGGTCATTCTGTGATGTGCATTGACCATAAATCCAAATTCACTGCAGTTACACTCAGCAGAATCAAGCTGAATGGTTTGGTGTCTGTGTAGCAAGACTGCATACTAGCTACTATTCTCAGCTTCCACCATTTCCCCACAGTGAGTTGAGTTTTGGGGTTATTTCTTTTCTTCTTACACTGGTCACTTCTTTAGTCTAACTGACTTGGTGTTTTTCAGCTGGTCTCCAAGTTTCTCTAGTAGTAAGATTTCCCATGTGCTGCAGTTCTGTTGTCAAAACCCTAGAGTTCGAAACTGAAAAAAAAAACCTGGGTGTGAACTTTGTTTGATGCTTGGCTTCCCATCAATCAAGAATGGCGTGGGGTTGGGGTTTTTGTGGTAGCTTTCCACTGGGTCATGCCCTTGTATGACCAACTCCCGTGTTTGCACTGCGTGATAGTGATTGCGGTGTAGAGGTCCCGAAGTTGGAGCCCGTCGTAGTTGCCTTCACCGCAGAGGATAGCTGCGTTATGCTGCGTGAAAGTACCACGCTTTTTCCAGCTAACTCAGCTGTCTCTGTGCCATAATGCGGATGAGTACTGCCTCACCTTCCTTTCTCATACCAGTTTTTGTACTGTGCTGCTGTTGAAACAAGCTTTCAGCTACTGAGGAAGTTCTTTTTTTGTGTCTACATTGATACAGATTTATTGAATTAGACTAGACTCCTAGCTATAAATAAGACGGGATACGTTGTGGTTGCTGAATGAGCTTTGCAGAGATGTCTATGAAGGGCATAAACATAGTTTGGCAATATATTTTAATATGCTTTTTTTACACGAGTAACTTATTTTGGGTCATGCCTGAGACCTGCCAACAACGTCCATCATGCTGAGTTTATTTAAAGAGTCATTGATTTAGAAGGTGTAGGGAAAATAAAGAACTTTTAATTCAGGGTAGGACAGATGCTGAATGGCAATTAGTACTTAAAGGTGGTATCTATGAACTTCAGAATTTTAGTTCAGAATTAGAGGTTGTTTCTCCAATAAGGACCATTTAAAAGAGATTTAATATTTCTGAAATTGCCATATTTCTGAAAATTAATTGGGATCGTCTGAGAAATGGCCTATCAGTAGGTAAGTCTTCACAATTTCTTATGTATGCCAACATGTCTTTGGCAGTTACATCTCCTTTTTTTAAAATCCTTTCTTCTTTCCTGGACTGCCATTTATGCTAATATATTCTGGTTTGGGACATAGAAACACATTTGTGTAGTGCTTTCAGAAAGTTGCCATCCCTCAGTCAGCTATGTGGAGTGTCCCACGGCTGTTGTCACCTCGCAGCTGCAGATAGGTAACCTCCAGCTAGAAGATACTGCTTCATTACTGAGACAGCTTTTGCAGACTCCTATCAGAGTGTGTCTTTACTTCCGCCACCACTTTTAACTTCTCAGGGTGTAGCCTGTGGTGGCACTGCTTTTAATCGAGTAGTTAGCGATAGGACAAGAGGAAATGGGCTCAAGCTGCGCCAGGGGAGGTTTAGATTGGATATTAGGAAAAATGTCTTTACGGAAAGGGTGGTCAAGCATTGGAACAGGCTGCCCAGAGAGGTGGTGGAGTCACCATCCCTGGAAGCATTTAAAAAACGGGTAGACGTGGCACTTCGGGACATGGTTTAGTCTAGTCTACCCTTAATTGGTTTAGTGTGGGCGTGGTAATGTTAGGTTAATGGTTGGACTGCATGATCTTAAAGGTCTTTTCCAACCTAAACGATTCTATGATTCTAAGTTTAGCTCCCTCCCCACCTCCCTGTGATGATAGCAAAGTAGCTGTTCCCTTGATGAGAAATGAAAGAAGGACGTATTTCCATTCTGCCTGAATTTTCTGGTCAAATTATCTTATCCAGTGCTATTAAATTCCTTGTTTGTTACACCAGGAAGAAAGAGACCCTTATTGTCATGCAGTGTGAGGTTAGTTTTGTCCAAAAGCTAGGAAGATTCAAGTGCCCAAGAGAATCTAGAAGCTTCAGCTATTACATGTTGACCTTGTTCCTTGTCAGAACAGTTCTATGTGGTGATAATGTTTTATTTTCCTGATGAGGTCAGCAAACTGTTTGCTTTTAGTGGCATTCTTGATGCTGGGTACCCAGAGGTTGGGGTAGAGCCAAGATGATGCTCATGCTGTGACCACATTGACAACTCTTTAAATACCTCATTGAAAAGAAGAAACTATTTCCTGCATCTTTTAGCAGTAGACCTGGCAGACCTCGCAGTTGATCCTGCTCCAGTTAGAGCCATTGTTTTGGATCATCTGTGTAAAGAGTTTTGTAACATCAGACTTTCTCAGTTGTCTTTCGTGACCCCAGTCTCCTTAAAGAGAGTGTTCTTTTAAAACACAGATGCTAAAGGAGCCCTCTAATAAGCACAGAATTATGATAGTGGCAGTATGTTTAGTATAAATACGGGGAGGGCGGGGGTTAGCTTCACCTTATATCTAGTACAGGAAGGGCTTGTTCCAGAGGGTTAAGGATTTCTTTAAACACTGCACCTCTAATTTAGCTCAGTCATTAGTAAGAATGTTCTGCTTGTAAAAATAACTTTGGATAATCTAAAAATACGTTTGAAAATGTATAAATACACTAGCACTTATCATTGCTAAATTGTGACAGCCAGTGTAGTGTTACTGGAAGACCAGTTGTTTTCCACTCTGCATTAATATTCATTCAAAATGGGTGTAACGGTGATTGCTTCTTAAACTTCTAAGAAGCAGAGTTTATATCCAGACATTCAAGTATTCTGGTACTGTATCGATTCATACAAGGGCCTGGATGGATTCAAGCAGGAAAGTGGTGTGCTGCGTTCCATTAGTCTCTCCCAATATTGGTATCACTTACGCTACTTTGCTACTCCGTTGAAGTGCCAGCTCATAAATTGTTTCTAATGATTATCTTCTAAGCTCTTGTGATAATGTTTTCAGACTAGTAGGTACATTCTTGGAAAAACACCAGGCTTAACTAGGCTATTGAGCTGTAGAGTTGTTACCTGTTTGGTAGCTGAGAAGTGAAGGTGGAGGTGAGGAGTATCTGCAGCTTACAATGGAAACTGTATATGAAGCCAGGTAATCCTAGACTTCTGTCCTGAGCCCCCACACGTGTTCTGTTAGTTCTGAACCATCTTCAGACTTGCGTAAGCAAGCATCTGTCCTTCAGAAATATGCTGTGAAACACAATATTCTGTTGCTGAGTCCTTTTATCTCTTCACAGCAGATAGGCAGAAGAGAGTAAAAATAGTGCTTGGCAACTCAGTTGTGTTTGGGCACAGAGAGTAAGTCTTTCTTAGTGTTATACCCTCAACAAAAATGGTCCTTTCTCTGTGGGTGTGTTTTTTACTTGCCTCTACATGGCTTAATTTTGATCTGCTGTACAATGCCTGGGCTTCAAGATAAAGTAGTTCTTTATTATCTGTCTTTGTCACTGTTCTTAATATGCGCACTGAGGACTTGAGCTATTTACTGGACCACCAGCTATTTCATAATATTTGTCTTTGGCCAAAGACTTTTCTTCAAACTGTTTTACCTGAGATCACAGTTGCTAATTTATGGTTACTGAGACTGGCTAGAAAGGCTACAGAAATATCTGAGTTCATGTTGATGCCATAGTTGGAAAATAAAATTGTTCATCTCCTTAGATTGAGGTTACCTCTGTATACCGAAGCCCCATTATTTTTAATTTGCTCATTAGAGCAATTGCTGCTTTTCTCCTCCACTTACAGCTTATTTTTTCTATGCATCAAACTGAAAGGAGGAGGTACAAATGACTTGGCAACAAAGCAAGCAAAGATGTTAAAAACGGTAACAGCAACAAAAGCATTCTTCAGAAGTGTCTTATTTCTGTAGTCTGGCATTCCCATATCTGTTCAGACACTTCCTACATGATTGTGGTGTTACTTCAAATTCTTTTCAGTATAATCAATCAAGACTGTGTTTAAAAAGAAACAAAAAAATCCACTAATGAAAATAGAAGCATGGCATAGATGACAAGGTAAATGAGGGCTCACCTGAAAAGAGAAACCTACAGTAAAGGTCATACACGCCACAGTATGAATTTTTCAGGCTAGCCTGATACACAATCTCTTCTGTGTTGGCCTCCCAGTGAAACACAGCAGATATGTAAGTTCTTGTGTGTATCAAAAGGCACTTGGGGCCTCCTGAGGAGATTTCACAATTACCGTAAGACTTGAAATTCTATTTTGAAAAAAAAAAAATCCAGTGAGGTATGGTGGGTTATTTGGGGGTTTCTGTATGTATCTCAGTGAATTCTGCCCCTGGATATCTGACTTTCTAGGTAGACCTAGTATTCGGTGTAGAAGTACCAAAACATTGGTAATTCTTCCATTGGGGTTTTTAACATAGAGCAGCACTATTTGAGTGCACTTACTTACATGCTCAGTTTTCAGTGTAAAATCTGCCTTAGAGATTGCAGACAAAGATGCTGGCATCCTTTGAAAAGCACAGAGGACTCATTTTCTGGGATACAGAAGAGCTACTGGTACTTAGTGATGTCACTATGTAGCTTCTGCCTGCTGAAGAACTGTTTCTTCAAAACTGGATGAACCTTCTCAGTCTTTTATTTCTTTCTGTTTCAGTGCATGAACTTCATAGCTTCTTGGTTTGTATTTTTGTTAAGGATAGCAATATAGTGTGGTGGTATTCTATTTTTAAAAAAACCCAGCAGCTTAGTAGCTTTTATCAAATGCTGTAGCACAGCATTTGATGAAAGCTAATAATGCCAATGTCTTCTGTGTGCATCTGGCTGGTAACCTGGAATGTTCCAGTTTTGTATCCCTAATACCTATGTGATCTGTGAATTGGAGAGAGAATGAACCATGCAGTTAGATTTATACCAAACTCTTGTTCTCTATGTTTTTGGGGTGGGCTGGGGCAGAAGGGAAGAGTTTTGTTCTTTACATACAGAATGCATTTCCTAGGTTCAATTATGTTTGTTTCTTTGGTAGGATTTTTCCAGTTAAAGATGTACCTGTAGAGCCTGAAGCTCTTACACACTGGCTATATCAACGATTCATTGAAAAGGAGGATCTCTTGACACATTTCTACGAAACAGGTAGGATGGTATCTAGCAAAGAGAATGTGCTTTGTTAATGTCTTCTCAAAATGGTTTAAGAATGCGTATATGTTCTTCATGTGAATACAATAGATGTAATTATCAATACTTGTTATGTGGCAAAAAAAGTATGATAAGAAGTGATCTAGGAAAGGTACATTACCTGGGTAATATTAGAATAGGGTAGTGTTTGGAAGCTGGCACATTCAAAACGGATCTAAGGAAATCCTCTTTTTTCTGCAATAACATATAGTTCAGCTGTGAAACTTGCTGCCACTGGATTTCATTGAGTTGGAATAATTTAGCAAGATACAAAGAGGTAGTGAACATTTACATGCATAGTAAAAGTATTCAGAGCATATGTTAAGTTTGGAGGGGATATAAAACCTTCAGGGTTTAAAAATGAGCAAGTTCTTGACTAAAGGGATTAAATAAGACTTACGTGAAGCAGGTTATTTTATCTGCGTAGTGCGGCTATTTAGCGTGTTCCTCTGGCACTTGTTCTGTTAGAGAAGACTGATCTAAGTAGTCTGCAGGTCTAATCCAAAACCATAGTCCTCTTCTGTTTCCTGTTAAGCTAAACAGAAAGATGCTGTGATTGGGAGATCCATAAGAATTACATAGCGTAAAGTCTGCGAACCTTGATCTGCAGCCCTGTGCTGCGAGTACTGGCCTTCTTGCTGCAAGGTACTGAGGATCACTTCTATCATAATATGCTTTCAATTTTAATAGATCAGAGGAATCTAAATGAACTTAGGGCATTAATAACATTACTGAAGGGATCCTGGCAAACACGTGATTTAAAATATCAGGTAAATACTTTGAAACGATAGCTGGAGAATTGTTTCTTCAAGGCTCTTTTTTTTTCCCATCCAGTTGATACTGAAGTACATCACCTACCCTCCAGTAGGGGGGTGGGTGTGGGTGTTCAGAATACAAAACAGAGGAATTCATCAAAATAAAAAAAGGAAAATCCAGAGAGGAAAAAATAGAGTTTTATTTAGACATACAGGAAGAGAATTTTATCAAATGTAGACTGAGTAGGAAGACTCCAGATTAAATAATGCAGCTTGTCTCTGAAGAAAAATAATCTCTTCATTAGCAAGTAGCACAGTTGTTGAGGGGGGGAAAAATATTCAGTCTCTTAAATCAACTGAGTTGAATATTCCAGAGTGACTATATTAAACGAAGACACTACTTCTATTAGATAATTTGTGGCAAAGACTGCTTTAATTTGGTTTTGCGTGTTTAATAAATTTATCAGTGGTAGTGCTTAAAAAGATTAATAGAATTCTTTAATAACCCAGGGTTCTATTTTGCTTTATGAGATACTGCTGTCGTTCATCCATCATTGATGGCAAAAGTCAGACCCTGCTATGTAAACTGCATCCAAATCCATATATTGAACTTTATTAGGCAAATAAGTTTGTGGATCTATTTAAAACTACAAGGGTAGTCAATAGGAGGTAAGGAATTCTTGTTACTGAGACATTGTGCCGCAAATACCATTAAAATAAGTCATACCCAAAAAATCTAACTAGACCAGAATTTCAGAGAGTATAATGAATATAATCAGATTTATTCATTGCAATGTGCTTCCAAAATAGGATAATTGGTTATAATTTGCCAATGTAATCAGTATGAATTAATAAGACGTGTTTTAAATGTAAATGCTATGACATAGGACCTTATTAGGCATAAATTAGCATAATTTAAAGTTACTACTGTTTATGCCAGTTGAGAAGTTGCTCGTGTTGCTTTTGTTGGCTTACTGCAAAAGTGCTGTTATGGTTTTTGGAACCCCTCTGGAAAAGTCCTGAGGTGGAAATCCCTGAAGCTGCTCAAGAGCTAGCTATGTATTGACGTGTTACGTTGTCTCAAGTTGGTGTCTCAAGACTTAGGGCTGCATCAGCTTTTTTTTTTTTTTTTTTTTTAAATAAATACACACTGCTTAGGAACTTGTCTGAGTTCATAAAGCCAGAGTAACATTTAATGCTACATGAAACTTCAGGTTTGTATTGACAGTGTCATCGGTAGGAATACATTCTTTTGGCATATTTTTATTTGGGAAGAGAAGGAAACAAAGCCTAAAACACTTTTTTTCTTTTTGCTGTATTCCTAAGCGTCAAGAACTTTAATGGATCTGGGGAAAACCAGACCTCTTAAGATTTAAAAAAAAAAAAAGTATCTGCCTAAAATTTTAATATGAAACTGTCCTGTCCTTTCTTCCAGGTGCATTTTACAGATTTCATTTATAAAATTAAAACCATTGACAGTTAATATCTGCAGGTTTAAGCCACACAAAGACTCCTATTTTAGTAGCTAGTGGAAAGCTTGTATTGGCAAGTTCATGATTTCTCTGAAGTCTTCAGCAGGGTAAACTTGT